CCAATAATGTACAGTCAACCTGATCCCTATCACTTGGAACATCGTCCCTTTTTTTAAATCGTAACGATAGAACTGCTTAACCATGCCTCTGAGTTTCTTCCCTCGATGGTTACAGGGTTCAGGAATCGGATAAGCTATCTAATCTCGCAGTCTCTTGGCATTTCAAGTTTCGACTGATACACAATCCACACTTTACCCAAGTCCCATCTTCCCTACTGCTTGAAGGATATCTCCTCTGCCCGCGAACGACTGAGCCAACAGTTTCTTCTAGATGGGAACTAACTCACGGCGGAATTCTCGTTAGAGCTCACTAAAGTTTCTTGCCATCTGCACTTGACCTCGTTGGATTTCTCACCTTCGTCTGCGGCGTTCTTTGCTTGTTGGACGACTTTTTGAGACCCCGAAGACCTCAGAATCCTTCCCTCATCGGCGATCTTTCCGTTGTGTGTAGCTTCCAGTACCGATTCTTCGCTCCATTCTTATCCTTGCCCTTTTGAAAAGCTCGACGGCCATATCTGATAGGGGCCAATTCTTCATCAAGGAGAACCTCGATGTATTTTGCGGTTTGAGGAACGATCTCCTCACGTGCACAAGGTCGATTTCTTTTTGTTTAAATTCACTGTTTTTTATAAGTTACCTTCTGGGTCGCGAAGTTTGTTCCGGACCCCAGTTAGAATTGGAAAAGCCCTCAAATAATGCACCTCCATAATTGCGAGCTCGAATAGAACCCTCAGTTTTCTTTGATATACACCGGTTTCGAGTAAAGAGAAGAGAACATCTTCCCTTTCATTATTTACGTGCATAGAGCGGTTTTTTTTTCGAACCGGTTTCAGAAAGGAAAAAACCAAAACGGCATGTGAAAGTCTAGAAAAGAACATCTTCCCTTTCATTATTTACGTGCATAGAGCGGTTTTTTTTTCGAACCGGTTTCAGAAAGGAAAAAACCAAAACGGCATGTGAAAGTCTAGAAAATGTCACAATACCACCACGTTCTACCATCATGGTAACTACAACGCTATTGTGAAGTGACCTATCTGTTCATAGGGTTATCCTTAATCGTCTATAATCCTTCAACGTCTGTCATGATATTTGTCAATGGAAGTGCAGCGTCTTCGATAAGAAACTAATACCACCTGCTGGTAGTAAAATGCACTGATATCGACGCGCAGTGTAAGATACTGACGGAAGTGCAAATCAAGAAATGTCAACTACTTGCTGAGAAGTTGGTAAGTTGGATGGATTCAGGCGGCTAACACTCTACCATCCACTCAGCCGGCTTATAACTGAAGGTACTTCTCGCATTCGCATGATTTTCCTTGATACTTTCGAAAGAAGATGTTTGTGAGCAACTTGTCAATGACCATTTAATAAATCAAAGAGCCCTGACACCTCATACAAGTCCCCAAGTCCCAATGTGACGACACATTGGTAATCGGATAAGTTTTACCCAACTTCTGTTTAGATTGTATGAATTCATAAGGGCGGGACTACTCCAAATTTGAATTTCATTTTCTATATGATTACCTTTTGTACAACTGTAACTACTTCACTCTACGTTACATACAAAATCCATAAACACAATACAACCAATAGGGCTGCTACCAAATCAGTTCAACACGTCCTTAAGGGGGCGGATTTGACGCAATTTCACCACATGAACGCTTGAGGAAGGGAAAAAGGAAAAGTATAAGACACTGACCTGTACCAACACTGGCCCTGCAGAGCACTGTGTAGAGCGGATCTGAATTCGAACATTATCACAATTTTGAAAAGAAACTCCGTATGCCTCTAAAGAACGCTGACGCCAACTATCTGTATTTTTCACGGAAAAACAAACCATTCCTAATCAGAAATAATATTACTTGGCGAGCTACGATGGGGCTAAGCTGAGCTCGAAGCATGCATCTAACAGATATTCAATTTTCTGCATCAACCCAGGTTTTTCACAGGTTATGTGTTACAAGATAGCCTTCGAATACGCACAGATAAACAAAAAATCTACTTCTTTTTCCTGGTGTAGGCGATGTTCTAGGCTTCTAAACATGTTTTGATGTTTTCTATTACTAATATAAGGATACTTCTTCAGGAACTCGGTGGTTAACACGTTGACGACGAGCCAATTTTTTCGTGTCTGTCCCGTGGGACGACACAGTTTCTTTCTTGTAAATTTGTTATTCCTCGAAAAAATGAGTGATTACATTCAAGA